TGGGTTGTATTTAACCCAGCATTTTTAGAGTGTAGGATTAACACCGGTGTGGGGACTGACTGACTGCCTGCCACACATACTCCGTCCTCAAAACATTAGATTCATCTGCGCTGGAGCCGTGCAAGAGTTCAACACACGCAAGGAAGATAATTCCACAAGTAACTGCAATTCCAGGTTTTCAAACAGAGATGGCGACAAAGAGGCAAAATTTACGGACTGCAGCTTTAAGTAAAACTAAAACAATTAAAACTCATTAATGATTTATGAAAACATTAACTGAAATATTTAATTCATTTAAATACAGCTGAAATTAAATTAAAATATAAAAAATAGAACTTTTGAAACGAACATGTGAATTACTATATAACTATACTAATGACTATAATTACTGAAAAATAAAGTTAAATATAAAAAATAATAAATGAAAAAAGCACAAAATAAGTACAACTTGGACTACAACTGTAAAAAATAAAACTGAAAAATATCAAAATAAAAGCTAATTTCAAATATTAATAAATACTAATAAAGACAGAATATAAATAATACTAAAATAACACTGAACAAGAGGAATATTTTTCATTCTAAAATATGAATTACTAACAGCAGAAGATTCATAGGTAAATCAGCCACTTTAAATGCTTGAGCTTTTTAAAGCAGGATGGATTCTGATTGGCTGACTGGCTTTTGAAAATGATTCCAACTATATCGTTCTTCTGTGTTGTTATAATTATAGTTGTGGTGTGGAATTAAAACTTTATAGTTATTGTTATTGTCCTTGGTGTGAACGGGCCCATATTTCACATTTTTATAATATTTCTTAAGCCCATTTTGGAAAAGCTCTATATCGCCACCTGTGGTTGAAACATGCAAGTTACTTTAGGATGGAGTTTGTTTTTTCTTTTGTTTTTCTTTGTCGAAGTGACAGAAGCCTGAAAAGTCCTGCATTTGCTTTTTTAAATCACAAAGTCTCAAGCGTGTGCAAGTGTCAATACAATGACTCTGAAGTGTCAATCTAGTGATTTCTGAACAAGTTTTCCCCGATATAGCCTCTTTAAAACACAAGGAGTTCATTCAAAGTACACTGAGAAAGTTTCATTGAGATTCTGTACAGGTAATACAACGGATGGTCTTAACTCTTACCTTCCTTTGTGGAGAGTATTCATCTACCGTGCTGAGAGATGAGAGGGGTAGGAAGACAGAAAGAAATAGAGAAGAATGAGCCAAAGGGATCACTTGAAATATAAATGTGCCATTATATCAATTCTGCAAGATGGCATCTCCCACCCGCTGCGACGAACGGTCGTAAAAAGCCTTTTCTCATTCAGATCAGGCCTGAATCATCAGCGCTAACATTAAAGTCTGACACAATGTGATTTACTGATTGCCTCATCTAAATGAAAGCGCACAACGTCCTCATCCATGCAAACCTCATTCTGATTAAACAGCCTGATAAAAACGGGCAATCGGCGGGAGCTTTATAGTTTCCATATTCCCCATCTGATGCCTCTAATTAATCATTGGCGTTTCATGAAGCACCAGCAGGCGTGCGATGTATAGCCGAGAGGTCAACGCCAGGACTTCTGCTTATTAAACAGAAATTCTGGATAAGAACTCATATGCTAAGCTCTTTGACCTGGTGGAATTCATTCATTCTGCTCAGTCCGGATCAGTCTGATCTGAATATTACAAAGCCCATTTCCTAATTCTGTGTTAATAAAGTTGATGATTTATACACCAAAAGTGCAAAAACTGTAGTTACTGTAGAAACATGGCTGTCCAGGCTTCAGAAAGACATGACCAAAGGAGAAAAAAAAAGAAAAAAAAAAAAGAGAGATTTTCAATACTTTTAGAACTTTGTAGTGTATTGTAATGGATTAGAGTATAATAAAAAAAAATATTATTATATTAGATTATTTTGTGTGTGTGTGTGTATATGTATATGTATGTATATAAATAAATATATATA